CTATGCAATTTTTAATGATCTTCAAGGTTATGTAATATAAATTTACATAAACATTTAAACTGAAAAGTTGTTGACCATTCCAAATGCATGAGAAATTCCAAAAGCTTCTCTGGGGAAGTGCAGTAGATGAGTTTTAATTCCCAAGTACTGCAAGTACCCATCCATATACCCTATTTTAGAATGTGTAAATCAACCTATAATAATTTACTGTTATAAATGAGCCAGGCCACTCTAGCTATTGTTTTTATCATAAAGAATAAAATGAAATTCAATTAGAGCTTAACCCTTAAATACAAGTAAATTAGTCATGTTTTTTTCAACACGTGTTAGGGCAACTTCCCCCATTCATTTATTTTGCCAACACTCAGATAGCAATACCAAAATTTTATATATATCGGTATGTAGGGTACATTTTCAATTTATTGTCAGTGGGCTGTAGATATTCTGTGGGGTGATATATCTTTCCGAAGAAAAAATCATAGCACTTTTTGTTTTACCTGTTTTTATATTGGGTTTTTTAATGTGGTGAATTGGGATAGGAGATATGGTTGTATGTGAAAATAAAATGTGAAGACGACCCAATCTATTTGTGGTGTATATTTAGCCTATGTCAGGTGTGTCCAACCTTCAGCCCACAGACCACATGGAACCCTACACAGCTAGTAACGTGGCTTCACAAGATTGTAAATTTTGAACATTATTTATACACGCATGCATACATACACAAACTATATCTTTTATATGCAGCCCAAGACAATTCCTCTTCACTCACTATGGCCCAGGCAAGCCGAAAAGTTGGACACGCCTGGCCTATATGTTTGTGAGATTTGGGGAGACTGTTACGATTTTTATGCAGGAAGTGACATATATGCCTGAGTATATTTCTCTGGCCATCTCTTCTCATTTATTTTAATCTCTTTTATTAAATTAACATTTGCTGTCAGGAGGGGTATGAGATTTGGAATTTCTTCTATGTATTTAGTTACCTCTGCTTTATATTCAGGGAAAAGTTGGGTATAGGAAGAAGATCATAGTTGAAAAGAATTAAGAATTTCTGGAAAAAGCAAAAAAGCAGTCTTTGGGGATTTTTTTTTAAACTGCTATAGATTTCCACACTGTAGAGTGGTGTATAAAAACAAACTAGGAATGAACTAGAATTCCATATTAGGAAGCAATAAGCCCTGGTGAAAATAAGACAAAATGTATAAACTAACATCCAACTATGGTTTCAAATTGTAGTTCAATGCTAAAATATAGTCTGAAGTATGAAAGTCAGCTTCAAACAAAGTATAAGTAAACAAAACAATCCTGATATGGTATTTTGGCCTGGGTCATATGGAATATGAAACAGGTCAGAATGGAGACCTTACAACCACATTTAAGAAAAACCCATCTACTAAATTTGGCCAAGACTCTGCAAGTTGTAAAGATTTTTTAAAACAAACAGGTCCTGACATATTATATATGAATATAGACACTGTGATTTGCTTTTAAATAAACTTGCATAATTTTGGGCACTAAGATTAATTTAACAATTTGATCTAATGCACTGTTGGTTGCTGATTAAATATACAATTTTTAAATTAAAAAAAATGTCTCCAAACTGTATTTGCCAATATGAGGAAAACCCAGATTGTTGAGGGTCATATGCTGACATTGTAAACCGCCCAGAGAGTGCTGTAAAGCACTATGGGGAGGTATATAAATCTAAGTGCTATTGCTTGATATTGCTACACTAAGTCACTTTGTGATTAGGTTTAGCATGTCATTCAGAGATCAGTACAGACAACCTCAGCAACAAATATTTGAAGGTCTGCCCTCCCCAGTTACATCTACCATCAGAGCAGGGGTAGGCAACCTTGGCTCTTTTATGACTCGTGGACTTCAACTCCCAGAATTCCTGAGCCAGCCATGCTGAGGGAAAAGGGAGAGGTTTCCAAGCTGAGCCATACTGGCTCAGGAATTCTGGGAGTTGAAGTCCATGAGTCATGAAAGAGCCAAGGTTGCCTACCCCTGCACTAGAGAAATACATCTAGTGGGATCATGTTACCGCCAGGGGGTATGGGCTGGGGGTTTATGGGCTTTTGACTGTGGATTTTAAATTTTATAAGCTGCCCAGAATCAACATAAGATAGACAGCCATATAAATTTGTTTAATAAATAATAATAATCAAAATTATTGTCTGGCTTGGGCACGGTCAACAATTTACTGTTAACCCCATCTTGTTGACAAGCTACAAACAGTTAATTTCTCCTTCCAATCACCTAATATAAACCTGGTTGATAGATAACCCCAAGGACATAAATGTAAATAATATAAATGGACCTATTGCTATAAAAATGCTATGAATTTCTAGGAAAATGAAATATTCAAATAATCAAATGAAAACACACATATAAAAAAAACTGAGATATATATTACTTCGAAAGATTACACTAAAAAAGGAAAGATGAAAGTTTTCATTATCTTACAGAATGTCTTCTGAGAGCAAGGAACAATCATTATTATTATAGCTGTAGATGATTGAGCCGTTGTATTCTAAGAATGGAAGGTTATCTTCCAGGACACTCGGTTGGAATGACTTTTTCTGTTTCATAAAAATGTGAAAGACAACTTGGTTTATAATTTGAAGAATATATAATGGGTTGCTAATATTAGCCTACAACATAATATATTAGTCCTTTCCAACTTAGTAGAAAATATCAACTTGATTGTTAAGTTAATGGTAGCCAAGTGAGAGTTGATAAGAGAATAATTTTAATATGAAAAAGGTACAATTCTATTTTTAAAGCACATTAGCGTTTTGAATGTTGCTTATATAGAGTAGGAGATTAACAAATAGAATGGATCCACACACATTCTACCAAGACAAGTTCTCAATTTATCAGAAAGTGAAGGACACTGTAAAAATATTGCTAATAAAATCTATCTTAGCTAAAAAAGAAATTAATAGAGCAAATACCCCCATAAGGACAATTTAAAAATTAATCTCAAAACATAATGATTGAAACCTCCCTGCAAAAATCAGTAACCCAATTATAAGTGGCCTCTTGGATATTCCTACAAATCAAAGTATTCCTGTTTAATGTCATTAAGCTAAAAACAGAACTGCAAAGAGCCAAATTAGTAGTTCTGAAAATTTCCATGCAAACTGGAAATTTGCCCAGAGGAGTTATCATTTACCATGCTTTAAATTATTATAAGAGCCAAGCTTATATTCTGATTTTCTACCTTTTTGTCATCCACAATATCTTCTCTGTTTGGTTCTGTCATCCATAGGGGAAGTTTATTTGGTGGAGAATCCATGTTCTATCAATTTATTCCTCTGCAAATGCACATGATCTGGAACAAGAGACATTTTCATTATCTTTCTTGGAACAATAAAAATACCTTAATTGCTAAAATATACCATTCGTAATGATTTTTCTTATTGTAAATTCATTCATGTTTTCTTACCCCCAGAAATTGTGGCTGCTCCATCACTGGAGATTTTTAAGAGCCTGGACATCCACCTGTCTGAGACGATATAGGTTCTCCTGCTCGAGCAGGGGGCTGGACTAGAAGACCTCCAAGGTCCCTTCCAGTCTATTCTATTCTATTCTGTTCTGTTCTATTATTCTATTCTATTCTATCCCCTCTTCTCTCCTGTTCTGCTCTTCCATTCCCTCTTTATTCTATTCTATTCTATTCTACAATCTGTCTATTCTATTCTATTCTATCCTATTCTATTCCCTCTTCTCTCCTGTTCTGCTCTTCCATTCCTGCTTTATTCTATTCTATTCTATTCTACAATCTGTTTAGTCTATTCTATTCTATTATTACTGTAAATTCATCTTTGGCAGAAGGACGTCTGTTTGAACATTCTCTTTCACTTCCGATAAGCAAGAATGAGAAAAATTGGAAAGGATAAGAAAGTAAAGAATGCAGCTATATATAGTAGGTCAATCACCTATTGACCTGTCATCCAGAATGCTGGGTATGGTATAAATTGGTCTACTTTGAGGGGAAAAAGAGTATTCTGGTTGCTATTATTATATTTTTATCCTGCCTTTTTTATATATAACTCAAGGCAGCAAATTTACCAAATACTCCTTCCCCCTATTTTCCCCACAACAAGCCTGTGAGGTGGGTTGGGCTGAGAGGGAGTGACTGGCCCAAAGTCATTCAGCCAGCTTTCATATTTAAGGCCAAGCTAGAACTCATTCTTCTGGTTTCTAGGCCAGCATGGCTAAGGAAAAAGGAAAAAAATCTGTTCAGAAGAGCCTCTTTTCTTGCTTTTGGTTGAACAAATACACTGAAAATGACAAACAAGTGCTACTTTAGAATATGTAACGTGAGTATGGATGGCTAGTAATGCCAGATAATTTTACGTGCAAATATAAGCGTTTAAACAAAAACTAACTATCCTAATAGCGGCGCTGGAAGTAAAACTCACCTCACCCCGAAATTCTCCCACTGCCCAATACCCCAGGAAAAAAGTTCTCTCTCAATCGCTTTCCCGCCAGACGCACGAGAAAATCATCATCCACAGTCAACACTTATCGTCGCAATGAAAATACGTCACGAGCCGCCATACTCCTCTCTCCCCCCGCCTTTCTTTCCGGCTGCTGTCAACTGTAGAAGGTGAAATGAGGTGAAGTGCATGCGCAGAAAAGCTTCCGCGCCCGCCAGCCGCCGGCAACGCAAGACATTCTGGGGGATGTAGTTTATAATTTTTGGAAGAAAGGTGGGGGGAGACGGGTCGCTTCAAAGCTGGAGGGAGAAAGGGATTCCCGTTCTCAGCCCGCGCGGCGCGCTGTTTGTTTCTCGTTCTCTTGCGGGTGGGGCGGTTGAGGTTGGCTGGCGCGCGTCGAACACGGACCAGCGCCTCGGAGGAGGGCGAAGAAGCGGGCGGCGATAGGACCCGCCCGATCGCGGAGCGCTCGTCCCTCTCTCGGAGGCGGCCGCGCGGGGAAGGCGAGCGCTGCAGGGGCCAGGGCGGAGAGCGGCCGCGGCTGGTTGAGAAGCGAGTCGGCGAGAGGCAGTTGAAGGAATGGAGTAAGTGTCGACCGCCCTCCGCTGTGGGGTTTTGTTTTTTTTTTTTCCCCTTCTGGCTAACTCCCCCCCCCCGCCCCGGCTCAATTGCGTGTCATGGCGCCTGGAGGGGCCGTCGCTGCAATTTGTACGGGCGACCATAGGGTGCGGGGTGGAGGGGGGGGGGAGCCACGGGTGGAGAACGGGAGGACTCCCCTAGAATTAGGCTGTCCGTTTAATGGGGAAGGAGATGCTCTTCGCGGCAGGAGTAAGGCGAGAGGTGTTTTGACCCGATCAGGCTTTGTGGTGGCGCGAAGGCCCGTTTGGGAAAGGTCGGGGCTGTCCTGTTTCTCTGGCAGGTCTTGCCTCTTTCCCCCCCCCACCCCACTTCCACGCGCGGGCATGCAACGCCCGCGAAAGGCAGCTTGGGCTCCGGCAGAAAGCCTGACGTTCAGCAACTGCCTGGGAAAAGGCTTCCAACACGGAATCGGGGCTTGGCAAGCGAATCCCCAAGCACAGGATTGATACTGTAATGCAGGAATACGGATGTGTTAATAAACATTACTTGGTGAAATAAGTCCCCTGTACTCGAGCTGTGTTTTCGGGGCAGGAGAAGCTTCTTCCCCTGACAACGGTGTAATATTGCTGGTATTATATTTGGGGGACCCAGGAGCAGGGTTAGTCAGGGTGGGAAGAGGGCAAAGCCTTGCTTCTTTTAAAAATGTATTCTGTGCCTTTAACGTGTGCCAGACATTCAGCAATTCAGCACACGATTTTCTACAAGAACTCCTCCCCGTTCCTCTTCCTTCCCCCCCCCCCCCATTTCTATGTACCAGACTAAGAAACGAAAGTGTTAGTGAAATAACTTTCCAGGGAAATAAATTATGCGCAGAGAGGCCGTTGCCAGGAAAGCAAAATGGATCTCCTGGATGTCTATGGTGTTATGCATCTTTGTTATATATTTGTTATTTTCAGTTGATGGTTAAAGATGGAGAGAGGCAGAGGAGGAGGAGGAGGAAGGAGTGTGGGGGGCTCTGGCCTACACAGGAGCATTTACTCCCAGTCCCAGCAGCAGTATCATTATCCTGCCTCCTCTTCTCAGGCGGGCTGCATGGAAATCCAGGAGCTGGCATCCAAAAGAGTGGACATCCAAAAAAAGAGATTTTATCTGGATGTGAAGCAAAGTTCCCGAGGTCGTTTTCTGAAGATAGCTGAAGTCTGGATAGGAAGAGGCAGGCAGGACAATATCAGAAAAAGCAAGCTGACTCTATCTTTATCAGTAGCTTCTGAGCTGAAAGATTGCCTGGGCGATTTCATAGAACACTATGCCCATTTGGGCTTGAAAAGCAGCCAGAGTCACCGGAATGACCATGCTAATGGCAAAGAACAAGATCCAAGAAGGCGGCAACACCATCAGCTACCCTCACCTCCAGCTTCAGTGGGATCTGAGGAACATCTTCACAGCGTCTTAAAAACTGAATATATTGAAAGAGATAATAGGAAATATTACCTAGACCTAAAGGAGAATCAACGTGGACGTTTCTTAAGGATTAGACAAACCTTGATTAGAGGACCTGGCATGATAGGATATTTTGGTCACAGTTTGGGGCAGGAACAGACTATTGTCCTTCCAGCACAGGGAATGATTGAATTCAGGGATGCTTTGGTCCAACTTATTGAAGAATATGGAGAAGGAGATATAGAAGAAAGGAGGAGTGGAGGGGATGATCCTCCTGAACTGCCAGAGGGGACTTCCTTCAGGGTGGACAACAAAAGGTTCTACTTTGATGTGGGATCTAACAGGTATGGTATTTTTTTGAAGGTAAGTGAAGTGAGGCCTCCATACCGTAACACCATAACTGTCCCATACAAAGCATGGACAAGATTTGGGGAAAACTTTATCAAGTATGAAGAGGAAATGAGGAGAATTTACAACGGCCATAAAGAGAAAAGAATGGATATCAGAGGGGACAGTGGAGAAGAACAAGAAGGTCTTGATTAGAATGTTTTTCAATGGGCCAAGAATCAAAGCAGAGAAATGCCAGGAGGTACTGATATGTAATGGCTGGAAGAAGTTGCCTTTCTTTTTGTAAGTTCTTCCCTGTTATTAGATAATTCCAATATGTGGGTCTGGTTTTCATGTTAAATTACACCCAGCAACTTCTCTGGTTTCTCATAATTAATTACCCTGTGATTCTGATTCTTAACCTCACAAGTTTATCAAATATGTATAATACCACTAACTCTGTTGTAATCTTTAAAGAATATGTATAAGGTTTGTGTTGCAGTGTAACATGATGCAAATAAGCCAGATGGAATTGATGTGTTGTAATAGTAACCAAGAGCATTTATGACCAAAACTGACCTTTACATTTTAAATGATTGTACTGGGAAAGGTATATTTAACTAAGTAAATCTGCTTGTTATGTTACGATAAAAATATTTTTAAGGGAGGAAGAATTGGCCAGTGATTAATTTCATGGGTACCTAATTGTAGGATAATCCAGTAATTTAAGTGATCCCCTCCAAAAGATATATCTATGTTTAATGTTGATCATGTCATCCCTTCTGTATGGATTGTTGACATCTTGTGAGGAGAGCTTATTTAAATAGTACAAATTTCAAAACTATTTTTATATTTGTGGGGTTAAGTGGTTCTAGCAAGTTACTGTGATGTGGGAATTTGGTAGATGAACAATGGTTGGAATTAAAATTCTAAACAGGAAGATTAAATGTCTACAGTGTGAAAAACATTAGAATAATTTCTGATTTAACTTAAAAAAAAAATACTTTGAAAGATTTTGGTGCATCAGTTAGTTGGTATCCCGCAGATCAGATTTCACATTGGTGCAATTGAAGTATTCAGTAATAGCTATCGATCTTATTTTGAAATCTTGGCTCTTAAATATTTATTCCAAATTATAATTGTATTTTTATTTTGCCAGACATTAACCCATGTTTTAAAAAAACCAAGATAATGACTGGAAAAGCCTGTGCTAATAGGAGATTTATCATGAAACAGAAATGTAATATACATTTTGTTTGGCATAATTTAAGACTTCAATTATCTATATTTAAATGGGAATATAATCAACTGAATACAGTGAAATGTAGTATAATATTGCATCAACATGGCAAGAATTGTGCTGTAAATCACATTTTAAATTGAAGTTCAGAGTGCCAAAGCTTTTGCTTTTGACCTTGATAACTGTGTAAGCTATTTCTATGTTGAAACCTAATACTTTTTCTTTAAAAGAACTGCATTGGTTGATTCAGGCTCAATATTCATTTCTTTTTCATATTCAGGTGCTCTGCTAGCTAAGGAGCGTGGTTTTCTAGTTTCAGTTGTATTCTTCTTGGTATTTCCATTTCAGCACCATTTTAAAATTATGCTGTGACCTCCTTTCTCAAAGATTATTAGTGAAAGTGGAGATCATAGCCTTGCATTTAATTTGGTGTGAAAAGTTGCCCTAATACTTTTATTTAGAAAAATAAGATTGCACCAAAATCATCAAAGGAACGTTAGAAATGTGTGCTCTAATTGTGACAAAGTAAAATAAAATTAATGTCACTGTTTTAGGTGATTTACCCAATATTTAGAAATTTGATCTAATGAGTGTTTGGCTGTTTCATAAATAACTAATAATGTTTGACTTCAAAGTCAAATCTAGTTTTAATTTTTCAATTACTAATGGTCTGTGGGCCAGAGCAAGTCATGAAAGATTCTAAGTAAATACTGGCATGAAAGTATATGTTCTAAGGAGGAAAATTAGAGGTCTAATGTGCTATTGTTGATTTGATAGCAGACTTGTAGTAAATTGTCTAAGCTTAAATTATCATTCTGCTGATTTGCTGATGCACATCCCAATGCCTGTAGTAATAGTGACATCCAGTTATATAACATAGAATCCATGAATGTATGAATTCCTGATGCTCACATTTTCCCATCTCTTGCCTTTCTATTTTCCCTATTTCATCATATGTAACAGGTTTTGGTTTTTTTTTTAAAAAAAAAAAACTTTCACCAATTGAAATATTTTTATGGAAACTTTACCTTATCAAATTTAATAGAAACAAACATATTCATGTTCTATTTTTGGTGTTTCAAAAATGCATTTCTTCTGCATCTTTTTGTTTAGCAAATAGATAAAGGGTTATTTACCACTACAGTAAAAATGTGTATTAGTTTAATACACTGGCCTGTACAAGTTTGCACTACTTTATCTTGTTTTTGTATTGAGCCAGATAGTCAGCAGTTCCTGCTTATATTGCTGTCTTCCCCATCCCAAATTTGTGTATTCTTGTGCCACTAAATTCTTGTTTTCCTCTGTATATAGGCACAGATTGCCATGTTTTTCAAATCAACTAATGACTTAAAAACAGATGTGAGCATCTGAGAGGGATTACACATGAGCCTTAAAATTACATACATACACACACACATATATACATATGTATGTGTGTGTGTGTGTGTATGCGTGCGTGTGTGTGTATACATACATATACATATTTATCTTATTATTGGACATAACTGGATGTGTTTATATCTTTAAACCCAAGGATTATATGATCCAATTTATATTGGTAATAGTTGAAATGGTCATTTGGGAAAAAGTTTCTCTTTACATCTGACAGTACATGCACTTCTTTGGAAAGTGGCAATAACATGTTAAAAGCTTGCAGAAGGATCTGTTATGATGTAAAGAAATATTCTTTGCATCCCAAAAATGCCATATCCCTTAAACTTGAGAAAAAACTTTAGCTTATTTGCACTAAAAAAGCGTGGCCAAAAACAATTCTAGGAGGGCAGGGTGGACATAATCAATTTGTACCTCTTGAATTATTTCTTCTCTCTTAAGAGAATTTTTATGTTAAAGCCCTGACCTCTCTTTTAAAACTGTATGGTCCAGACAGAAAGTCTGTCAGTTTTGTGATTTCATAATGATGCACTTTATACTTTAAAAATAATAGAAGCACATTTCTGATACTGGTCTGGTACAGTGTGTTTCAGTATAGTATAAAATGGTCTTCTGCATGCATGTCTGTCAGCGATTTGTTACAAGGACTAGATCAAATTATATGGGCGTGATCAAGAAGAATAGGCACTACACTACAACCAATTATGATATCAAGGTCATGTATTTTTTTAGAATGGTTGAGTCCTGCTCTCTCCGGATTTACATAATCAACATTCCTGAAACTCAAATACTTCAACGTATTTTTAAAGATTCCTGCAGCCTATGTAGTTATTGGTTAAATAACTCTGTCTTATCTTTTAAACTGTTGCTGCATAATTCCTCTCTTCCTAAAAGGATTATTTTAGGGCTCTAGATTTTTGTGGCAGCTAAGCAAGTTGGTAGGAGGCGATGTGTATGACTGTACTTCATATAATGTAGCCTTTCCCCCAAACTTCAGTTAAAACATAACATAACCTAAAGGCTATTACGACAGACTACTACCGTATTATAAGAAATTTCCATAGTATAAATTCAGCTATCAGGAAATGAAAAATTTGCAGAAGGATTATTTAGATTATTTATGAACCATTTAGGTTCATTGGGTTATGAACCATTTAGGTTCATAACTATGGGAAGCAAATATATCAGTGCTTCATAGGTATTATTTCACCTTAATAAAATACACAATTGTTGCTAGTGTTAACATAGCTTTTTCTTCATGTTTTTTATTAAAATACCATTCAATTATTTTCTTTTATGCACTAATAGTTTCACCTTTGGCATCAGGTAGATAGGAAGTGCTATTAATTCCTTTTCTTAACTTAAGATGAAGTAGGAAGAAATTACTCCATCTTAAGTTAACAGAAGATAGCCTATGTCCCTTGACTTCCTTTTTTGCCATTGTTGAAGTCTGCTCTGACAAAGATTGTCCAAGATTGGAAACATAATTTCTTAACTTTTTCCATAAGGAAATTTGTAAGAACTGCAATCTAAGCCCTATGTTATTTCACTTATAAAAGCGATTATTAAATATGTTTAGTATATGCCTTCTAGGTATGTAGATTTGCAATTCATACCTTAATTATTCTTAGGACAATGCTCCTAGATAATTTTAACCTCAATTTATCTGTAAAACAGGTCCATGGTTTTGTTTTGTTTTTAATTCTTATTGGCTGAGAGAGGGCTTAGCAAACAGACTGGCTTGAACCATCTTTGTCCAGATATTTGCTCAGTTCCACAAATGGGAAAAAAAACTATATACAAGATACAATGCATGCTTATAATTGTTTTAGTCATAACATCCTTTTTTCCAATCATTAAAATCACCACTAGCTGGTCCTACATATACCTATTCATGCATGTTTTTCTAGATGTGTCAGTAACCAGCATCAATAGCCAATTTGATCTGTATGCGTCATTATACCTGCTTGCATCTAGCAAAGGACAGTGTGAACTTGGTCAGAAGCCTTAATACATTTCTTTGTCCAAACATTGTTGACTGTATTATAAATGTGTCGTATATATTCAAGAAGTTTCCATGAAGTTCATATCCTTTAGTTTCAAAAAGGCATGTTTGAAACGGCTGCTATTAAACAAAACTATGAGATTTAGTTCACTGAGCTATGTGGTCTGTTGTTTGAGACTTTAATGTGTTTTTTTTAAATATGATTGGATTTTGGTACAAAACATGGAGTCCATAGTCTCAGTGGAACTGAAAAATACAATAGCAAGAAAAAATTAAAGTGGTCTTAAAATAGAAAAGGGCAGTATGAAGACTGAATATTTGACATTATACAGGCTTTATCAAGTGCACTGACAAAGTATCTCCACAAAGTATTGAAGCAGCTCTTTTCACTTAAAACAGTGTTTCTCAACCTTGACAATTTTAAGGCATGTGGACTTCAACTCCCAGAATTCCACAGCCAGCAATGCTGGCTGTGGAATTCTGGGAGTTGAAGTCCACATGCCTTAAAATTGTCAAGGTTGAGAAACACTGACTTAAAAGACAAAGCAAAATGGCTGTGTCTACAGCTGCCTTCAGTTTCTAAAGCATTAGTTTATTTTGCATATAACGATGGATAAAACAATTTCTTTAATGCTTTAATTGCAGAGTTAAATTATACTGGGTTATGTGAAATAAATATAACCCCCCAAATAGATAGAGAATAAAACACCCCTTTTTATAGAGAATAAAACACCCCTTTTTAAATATCCATTTGGAATGGGAATTATACAATATGTCCTTTGTAGTAAAATTGTATTTCCCCACAAAAAAATAACTAGCATAGTTTAGGGCTATTAATTAACTTCATTATAAACCATCAATTTGGATAAATGAATGTAATTCTGTATTGTCCCACCATACTTTTATGACTGGTCATGTACATAGCATGTAACATTTAAATGTTTTTCATGTTTTCTACTGATAAGTAGAATTACATTATCAACATGGCTGAAACTTAAATACTTCATATTTTTAAAGATTCCTGCAACCTGTATAGATATTGGTTAAATATCTCTCATATCTTTTGCAATGTTCCTGTATAATCCCTCCCAAAAAATATTTTAAGGATCTAGATGTTTGTGGCAGCTAGGCAAGTTGGTAGGAGCAATGTGTATGACTATATTGTATATGATATACCCACTCCCAAATCATAACTTTAAAAGCTATTATAATATAGTTTTATTAAAACTATTAAATGAAATCAGTTTTTTCCATCTCATAATTTTCATCATCAGCTCTATTTTATAAATGTGTTCAAATTATTATAAAATGAAATATGCTATTTATATAACATGGAAATCAT